GTTGTTGCACTGAAACTGATCGTATCCGCATTCGTGCTTGTCTTCATAAAATTACAATTAGAAAATTACAATAGTCTGAAACATTATTTACATGCCGGTAATACATTGTAATCGACAAGTTGATTAGGCAACAGCTTCACCATTATGATGCAGGGTCCTGGGCAAAAAAACAATCGGGCAAAGGGAGTTCAGTTGAGTTTGCTTGAGTAATGTAGTAGATAAGGCCAAAGATAAGTACTGAGGATGTCTGTGCTTCGAATCTTAGAGCGTATGTTTTTCATCTTCAGTCTGTTTCCTATTGGGAAAGATCAATTTTGAAAGGTTAATTTAATACCCAAAATAGCCTTTATGTCTGGTCTTACTGGAGTCAGAGAAAATGGCGTCCATTTCAAGGCGTGATCGACGTGAGCCTCACGTATTAGCTGAGCGCCCATATCACTTTATGCGGTAATACATTACCGGCGTGATTCTGATGTGGCATTTGCCAAGAAACAGGCATCTTTGTCAATGGTTAAGACTGCTGCACCAACTATTTACGGCAAGCCCTCAATCGTAGCCACAAAAAGGTATATCCATGACATACGTCACCCACAAAATGCCCTCATTGCTTTGCAATAAAATGATGATCAGAATACAGAAAATGTTTTATTTTACCTGTCACATAGTTGGTGGTGTACTCAGCTGTGGAAAGGTGACACATACACACAAAATATCAGTGGTCATGAATATTCGATCTTTCTATGCTCAAATATGACACAAGTGTCACACCAAACACTTCAGCATAGAAATAAATTTTTCAAAGCACAACCAACTTTGCAACATTAAAAAGTAGTCTGAAACCCCCTTCTTTCAAAGAATACATACAAAAACGACGTTTGTTACTGCCAAAATCTTTACAGGGATACATGTGTCCTCCTCCCCTCTTTTCCCCACGGATGCGGGAGAAGTTTCCTTAGAAAATAAACTGCCCCTCAACGCGATCTCTGACTGGGCTTTAGTGCAGTTTTTGGCGTTTCTGTTTTGGTGTGTGTGTGTGTGTGGGGTTGATATTATCTTGTGTGGCATGTTGTCTGGCACCAATTACTGCAGTTTTATAACACCTTCTTCTGTACTTTTCTATGAATTGCGTACGCGGTAATCCCTACGGTTATAGATATGGCCTTTCGCTTGACTGTAAGTGAAGTACGAAATTTCTTTTGAAAATCAAGAGAGAACAAAATCTACACCTCGGGGAGGTGTGTTTGTTGTACACTCAGACCGGGTCGCTTTGCTGATACCAGACCGAACAAACTTGGGTGTAACTACTGCCCTTGAAAAGATTTTTTTCTGGACAATACTGCTGAAAGGGTACACTTGATGAAGTTTTAATCTTCCGAGACGAGGATTTCAATTGGCACTCCAGTAATACTTACAGCTGGCGTATTCGGTGGTCCAGTAATCAGATGGCTCGTCTGTTAAAAGGACAATGCGGAAAAAGGTTTAACCTTTTTCCGCATTGTCCTTTGACGAAGTGCCCTCTTTGCTTTCCAATAAAATGGTGACCAGAATACAGAAAAAGTTTTTTGTTTACCTGTCACGTAGTCGGTGGTGTACTCAGCTGTGGAAAGGTGAAACGTACACACCCAAAAATATCAATGTTCATGAATATTCGATCTTCCTATGCTCAAATGTGACACAAGTGTCACGCCAAACATTACAACATAGAGCTGTATTTTTTCAAAGCAAGACAAACCTTGCAGTAATTACATAGAAGTCTGAAACTCCTCTAGTTCGGAGAATGCATACAAAAACGACGTTTGTTATGGCCAAAATCTTTACAGGGATACAAATGTCCCGCCGCCTCCCCTCGGATGCGGGAGAAATTTATTTAGAAGAAACCGCCCCTCAACGCAATCTCTGAATGGACTTTAGTGCAGTTTTTTGGCGTTTGTGTTTGGATGTGTGTGTGGGGGGAGGGGGGTTGATATTATCCTATGTAGCATGTTGTCTGACACTTGTTACTGCAATTTTATAACACTCTTCGTATCATTCTAAGAACTGCGTACCCTTTAATCCCTACGGTTATAGATGTAGGCCTTTTGCTTGACCGTAACTGAAGAACCAAATGGGCTTAATAACCAAAAATCTTTTGAAAATCAAGAGAGAATGAAAGCTACACCCGAGGGAGGTTTGAATTTACAACCAGACCGGGCTGCTTTGCTGATACAGCACCGCACAAACTAGGATGTGACTATTGCCCTTGGAGAGGTATTCTGTTGAAAATATACTGGTGAAAGGGTGCACTTGGTGAGGTTGTAATCTTCCGAGACGAGGATTTCAGTTGGTAATCGAGCGATACTTACAGCTGACGTATTCGGTGGTCCAGTAATCAGATGGCTCGTCTGTTAAAGGACAATGCGGAAAAAGGTTAATGCCAGCACTGAAAGAATTCGAACTCAATCTGATTAATTATCATGTGTTAAATATTGCTTCCCAGTAGGTTTTCTGTAGCAGGGACGGGAAATCTGAATTCGATCCTTGTCCGGCTGCTTCCAAAACTAACATTGTTGTCTGTGGTGAGGGTTGTTGGCCGCGATGCAGGGCCTATCATTAGCAATCTGTAGCCACAGCATACCCGATTCGAAAATGGCTCAAGGCCGCCTTTCCAACTACATGTACGGTTTTTGGTCCATTCCTTTTCATGTTGACTGCCACGAATGATTTCAAAGGGGCATTAAATTCCCACTTGCCAAGCGTTGTACGCATGCGTGAATATTTAAAAGTACCTGTCAGGTGTCTATTTGAGCATGAGCATTTTACACTGCCAGCAGCGTATTTGTTGTGTTTTGCAGTGATGCCAGTGTATTCAATTTACATTACAATAGATTTTATTTCCTACGATTAGGCCTGTACTCGTAATGGCAGAATCCTGTACACCTTGAC